ATTTAAAATGTGAGTGAAATATTCATGATTCAAAAATTAAAAATAATATATAAAAGATACATATAAATATATACCAGCAAAAGTCTCATTCCCACCAATTTTCCATCTGTCCAGTTCCCAACATGTTCATTAGTCTCTTATCTTTCTAGAGTTTCTTTATGCAAATTAAAATATATTGTTGTTCCACCAAGCTATCCTAGGTGAGGAGACTTGGGCTGAGCTGGCAGGGACTGGTGGGTGCTAGGCCAGAGGACCTGGTATGGCTGTCTCTCATTGGCTTTCTCAAAATGGCCATTGTTCTGAGAGGGCATAAATTTGTACATGTAACCTTGAAACATGAATTCCTGATTTCAGGCTCCATTATGGCGGGGACTCTAATATCCTCACCTGGCCTGTGTGCAGGGGAAGGCTCAGTCCCTCCACAGGAAGAGAAGGCCCAATCTACTGCTTCCTAAGAATGGGCTGGGCACAACAGGTTCTACTGTAACTGCCAAGTGGAGCAACACCTAACTAAAGAATATCAAAGCCCAGAGTGAGAACATTCCTCCCTTTCCAGTTTTCCTCCAATTTCTTCTTCTTTTTTTCTTTTTTATTGAGACAGAGTCTCACTTTGTCGTCAGGCTGAGTGCAGTGGCGTGATCTCAGCTCACTGTAACTTTGCCTTCCATGTTCAAGCAATTCTCCTGCCTCAGCCTCCCAAACAGCTGGGACTATAGGCGCGCGCCACCAGACCCAGCTAATTTTTGTATTTTTAGTAGAGATGGGGTTTCACCATGTTGGGCAGGATGGTCTAAATCTCTTGACCTCGTGATCCACCTGCCTCAGCCTCCCAAAGTGCTGGGATTATAGGTGTGAGCAACCGTGCCCAGCCCCTCCAACTTCTTATTATGGAGAAAGTCTATGTTTTAATGATGGATTTTTAAAAAAGACTTTTTAAGAGCAGTTTTAGGTCTACAGAAAATTAAGCAGAGAGTTCCACATATTTTTCTTCTCTCCTCTGCCCCTGATTTCTGACAAAGAGCTCCTAAAATGCTTGTAAATAAAGATGCTAGGACACTCTTGTTTCCATATCTGATCTTTTTTGTTTTGTTCCATTTGGTCATTGACCCTGGTGTTGACACAGGGTCCTTTGTAATTTCTTGAGTGATAAGAGCATGTGAGGCTGGACAAGGTGGCTCACACCTGTAATCCCAGCACTTTGGGAGGTCAAGGCGGGTGGATCACTGGAGGTCAGGAGTTCGAGACCAGCCTGACCAACATGGTGAAACCCCATCTCTACTAAAAATACAAAATCAGCTGGGTGTGGTGCTGCACATCTGTAATCCCAGTTACTCAGGAGGCTGAGGCAGGAGAATCGCTTGAACCTGGGAGGCAGAGGCTGCAGTGAGCCGAGATCGTGCCATTGCCCTCCAGCCTGGGCAACAGGACGAGACTCCTTCTTCATTCATTCATTCATTCATTCATTCATTCATTCATTCATTCATATATATATAAAAAACAGCATCGACACAGAACTCCTAAATCCCTTGGAGTTTCCCAGGTAATAAGAGCATCTTTTATTCTAATCAGGTAATTCTTGGTGGGATCCTAGATGGGTGCTGGTTACCACAAAGACCAAACCATGATTAGAAGCTAATAACTTTAAGTCCTACCCCCACCATCCGGGGAGGGGAGAGAAACTAGAGATTGAATTAATAATCAATCATGCCTACATGAAGAACCCTCCATAAAAATCCCTAAAAGATGGTTTTCACAGAACTTCTGGGTGGGTGCCATGTGCTAGGAAGGTGACAAGCCCCAACTCCATAAGGATAGAAGTTCCTGTGCTCAGGACTCTTTCAGACCTTCCCCTATGTACCTCTTTATGGCTATTCACCTTTATTCTTTGTAATTTCCTTCATAATAAACCAGTAAACATATTTCCCTGAGTTCTGTGAACCACTCTAGTAGATTACTGAATCCAAGGAGGGGGTTGTGGGAACTTCCAATTGGTGACAACCTGAACTTGCAACTAGCATCTGATGTGGGAGCATTCTCGTGGGACTGAACTCTTTACCGGTGATGTCTGGGTTAACTCCAGGCACATAGTGTTAAAAGTGATGTGAATTAAGGGACACCTAGCTGGTACTGGGGAATTTGTTGATGTGAGAAAACCTCCCACACATCTCGTGTCAAAAATGAAGTTCTGGAAGTATTGAGAATCGTGAGAGTAGAGAAGCAAACAGTCTGCTTTTCCCTATATACCAGGTGCTTGCTTTTCCACATGAACTTTAGAATCACTGTTAATATCCATAAAATAACTTGTTGAAATTTTGATTGGGATTGTATTGAATCTACAGACCAAGTTGGGAAGAAACGACACCTAAACAATATTGAGTCTCCCTGTTTATAAACATGGAACATCTCTCCATTTATTTAGATCTTCTTTATTTGATCAGAGTGTTATCATTTTCCTCATAAAGATCTTGTACATACATTGTTAGATTTATTCTGAAGTGTCTCTTTTTGTTTGGTGTCACTATACATGGTATTGTATTTTTAATTCCAAATTTTAATTCTTTGTAGGTATATAGGAAAGCAATTGAGTTTTGTCTATTAACTTCATACCCTGCAGTCTTGCTATAATTACTTATTAATTCCAGGCTTTTGCTATTGTTGTTGATTTGGGGCATATTCTACATAGAAAAAGAATCAACAATATTATACAGTCACGTCATCTGTGAACAAAGACAGCTTGATTTTTCCCTTCCTAATCTGTATATCTTTTATTTCCTATTCTCATCTTATTGCATCAACTGGAACTTCCAGTATGACGTTGGACAGAGTGGTAAGTAGGGACATCCTTGCCCTGTTCCTAGTCTTAGGGGGAAGCATCAGTTTCTCATCATTAAAGATGATGTTAGCTGTAGGTTCTTTCAATAGATGCTGTTTACCAAATTGAGGATGTTTCCCTCTATTCCTAGTTTGCTCCAAGATTTTATGATGTATGGGGTTTGGATTTTGTCAAATGCTTTTTCTGTACCTACTGATAGGATCATGTGATTTTTCTTCTTTAGCCTGTTGATGTGATGGATTAATTGGCTTCTAATAGTGACTAGCCCTGCATACCTGGGATAAATTCTACTTGGTTGTGGTGTTAATTATTTTTGCACATTGTTGGATACAATTTGATAGTATTTTGTTGAGGATTTTCTATCTATATTCATGGTCTGTAAAGTCGTCTTTTAAAATTGTATAATAGGCTGAGAAATCTCAGAGCTGTCAGTCAGTTACACTTAAGTGGTAATTAATCAGATTATTGTTCTTCCGAAACCTAAAACTCTATCAATTGCAATGAGCCAGAGACATTACTGATCAGAGGGAAGACAAGGAACAATTAAGAAACAAGGTAGGCTTTAGCCCGTTGCAGTATCTCAAAAGCAAAAAGCTGTAATTTATACCACTTTCCTCAGTTTTTAAGTTTTAAATCAGAGGAGAAAAAAAGAAATCAGCCCAAGAAGAGGAGGGATATAAGATCTGAGTGGCTGAAACAAATTATTGTTCCCTTAAACTGGTTTTGTGAAATACAATAGCCTTGTCTGAATTTTAACTGAAAGGTAATGCAGTCTAAGCCCCAGGTTCCATAACTTGTATACTGTTTTATAAGTCAAAGATAGTGAGGCTCTGCGGTGGTCAATATTTTCTCTACCCAAGCCCAAGCCTGCTTCACCATCAACTCTTCACACCCCTATACTACTGTTATTTCTACTATGTTGGGTACAAAAAAAAAAAAAGAAAAAAGAAAAAGAAAAAAGAGTATCTTATTTATAAGCTTTTTCTATCAGCAATATCCAAATTGCCTTTCTTTCTTCTTTTTGTTAGGTAATCTAAACAGCTGAAAACCGAACTCCTTCTGCCGGAATAAATCTGATCTGGCATGTGGATAAGAAATAGGCCAAGGGAAGGCAGCTGGCTGTCCTGTGCCTAAAAGGGGAGAGGAGCTTTAACCTGCAGGCAAAGGGTGTTTGGAAGAGGAATTAGGAAGTCATAACATATCCTTTAGGAACAGCTCTGCTGCTGGAACCTGTGATATCATCTGCTGTTGGCTTTACATGGCTAAATAGATGCAGAAAGATACCCTCTGAGGGTTCCCCAAAGTAACAGCAATTTAAAAACAGAATATAAAGTATGCTGAGTGGATTTTTACAAATGGTATTCTGTACTTAATGCTGACCAACGAAAGAGGGCTGATTTATAATGTGGGAGTGTCAAGAGTTCTTCAGAGAAAGTGAATAGAAATACAGGAAAGGAAAGCTGTGCAGTCTCAAATGTGCTAACCTTGAAGAAAATTTCAAAAAGTTTACAAAAAATGTAAGAGAAAAAATTAGTATATTCTGATAGCTATAGTTTCTGAAAAGAACTCCACTTGAAAATGAAATAGCTAGAAATATCTGAATAAATTTGTGGTTTTCCAAGAAGCTCAAGTTTTAAGAAGCCACCAACAAAAAAAGAAAAAGGAGCAGATGAACTAAGTAGGGAATACGCAGAAGTGGAACACACACAGCCCACGTGTGCCCTCTTCATTCTTCCACTGCTGTCTGTCTGGTCAGATCTTTCCAGGGCCCGCTCAACTCTCCTCCACAAAACCTTCCTTCTCCAATCCTGATTATACTGACCTCTCCCCCTTCCCAACTCTGTGTATTTGGCAATTACTTCCTTGCCTCACCAGTTCAACTTTCAGTTATGAGATTGCAAGGCCTATGTCACACACATCTTGGGGTCCCCAAAGTGCCTATAGTGCCTCCTAAAGAGCAGATGATAAACAAACATGTGATGATGGAATCAAAGAAGCCAACCAGTGCTTTTAGAAGAAAGGAGGCTAAAGCAGCTATAAAAAAACAAAACACAGATTTTGAGCTTGCACTGTAAATTATACTAATACCCAATCCAATTCAAATCAGTTATGTAACAAGTAGAATGAACAGGCGCAGTCACCTGAAATTGCAAAAATAGCACAGTACCTGCAGGAGACTTTCTATAGCATGAAAGCCTCGAATTAAATTCAGAGCTCCACATAAAAGACTAAGGATAAATCCTACAATCCCTGACAGAGTTGCTGGTTCCAGTCGCTGGTGAGCTGGAAAATAAAATAAATAGTTAGAAATGAACACCAATACCTCACAAATGAACTTAGGTAAAACAGAAATTCACTGCTCAACTTAAATGGGTCAGATACTTCATAGAATTATTTAACAACATATATTCACAATTAAATACTGTTATAAAATGAAAAATGCTTGACAACATAAAAGCTTCATTTCCCTGAAAAATTAACTTTTCTCTTTTTTTTTTTTTTTGAGACAGGGTCATGCCCCTTACAAGCCTCAAACTCCAGGGCTCAAGTGACCCTCGTGCCTCAGATTCCCAACTCTCTACGATTACAGGCATGTGCCACCGTGCCTGGCTAATTTTTTCTTTTTTATTATTATACTTTAAGTTCTAGGTTACATGTGCACAACGTGCAGGTTTGTTACATATGTATACACGTGCCATGTTGGTGTGCTGCACCCATTAACTCATCATTTACATTAGGTATATCTCCTAATGCTATCCCTCCCCCTTCTCCCCTCCCCACAATAGGACCCGGTGTGTGATGTTCCCCTTCCTGTGTCCAAGTGATCTCATTGTTCAATTTCCACCTATGAGTGAGAACATGCGGTATTTGGTTTTCTGTTCTTGTGATAGTTTGCTGAGAATGATGGTTTCCAGCTGCATCCATGTCCCTACAAAGGACACGAACTCATCCTTTTTTATGACTGCATGGTATTCCATGGTGTATATGTGCCACATTTTCTTAATCCAGTCTGTCACTGATGGACATTTGGGTTGATTCCAAGTCTTTGCTACTGTGAATAGTGCCGCAATAAACCTACGTGTGTATGTGTCTTTCTTTTTGTAGAGACAGGGCCTCACTATGTTGTCCAGGCTGGTCTTCAACTCCCAGCCTCAAGTGATCCTCTGGCCTTGGCCTCCCAAAGTGCTGGTATTACAAGCATGAGACATTGCATCTGGCCTTTCTCTACATTTTTAACAAAGACATGTAACTTGCATTTGGGATAGACAGTGCTAAGGAATGCTCACAACTGGCAGCAAATCATTTAGAAAAAACTTACTGCATAAATATGTCTACTATTTGCAAGTAGGTGCAAGTATTTGTAAAGGTGACTTTGCTTGGAAATTCATCGAATAATCCTACTTTTGCTGAAAATGCTTAGGAAACATTTTTAAGTACAAACATAGCTTACTTTTAAACAAAACTTTCCCTTATCTGGGTTCTAGGGCTATATCACTGCATATGTGTGAAAGCTCATATATAATCAGCAGTCTGAACTCCAAAACAGAATAGTCTTATAGCTATAAAGTTCCTGGTCCTCTGAATAACACTGGAAGGTAAAAATGATAAAACACCAGCTGAAGAAGTGACCATTTTATTTTCACAAATACATTCCCTTATCTTCCAGGGCTTTAGCAGCAGAAGAGTTATACAATAGCTTCCCTTCATCATCATTTTATGCTTAATAGAATTAACAACAGGGTCTACATGAAAACACAAAACTAAATACATAATCATCTAGACCTCAAACAGGAGACAGAGGGAAGAGAAGACAAAAGAATCACATTTAGAGTATTTTATTTAAATCACTGAAGTGTAAACGCCCTAACAATTAAGTTAATGAGGTGGAATATTAATATAAGGGTGGGCTTAAATCTCTGCAACTTATATTCAGCCATTACAGCAGAACATCTTCCCTAAACGGTTACAAAAACACAATAATTCACATATCACAAAAAAGTATTTATTCCCCAAGTTCAGCAGAAAGTGCTTAAATAACATTTTCTTAAACTTCTTTGGTGCCCAAGCTGCCTGCTCTCAATTTCCTTGAGATTTTACTATGACAATAGAAAATTAAATGTCTCTATTCAACATTGCTTCCAAGTGTTATATCAGTAAAGAAAAAAAAAATTTCACAATTTAAAAATCTATCTAATTGGTCTATACATTAATTATGTTTTGCAGCCTCCCTGCCCACCCCTTTTCAGTAGTGAGTAAGGGAGAACTGGCCTGCACTAAAAAAGGAAATTTTTAATATAGGTCTCAAGAATAAAACCACCTGGCAACTGAATAGGTTATACAAATCACACTCCAAAGTACATAAAACAAGTTTCCCTTACCAAAAACCTCAAATAATATTCTGTATTATAACTAAAAAACCTTAGCTTTTTAAGTCAAGTAAGGTGTAGCCATTATTCAATGGAAAAATACTACCATTTTAGTGTATTGATGAATACCTATTTAAGAAATAAAAAATACATATATCTAACTTAAATATTTCTTAAATTTCTAACATTTGCCTCTTAGCCTGAGAACACTCTTTATAATGATAGTATACCACTTATAAATTATTTCAAAATGACCAAAAATATTTAAAGGCATAAAAGCCTTTAAAAAGCATAAGCCTCCTTTAACAAGAACACAGTACACCTTTGATGAAGGACAGGCTGGCGTTGTGCCAAATCACTGTGGGGAAGAAATTCTAGAGATTCCCCCACTTCCACCTCCACCCACTTCCCAGGTTCTGTGGCTTGTACCTTGAGAAGTTATCAAGAGAATACTTCATCTGCCCACAATATAAGAAGGTGACACTCCTTAAGAATAATTTCTCATTTTAACAAACTGAACTAGATATTAATCACATTTTAATGTATTAGCTATTTATGCTATTTTTTTCTACTTCAGTAAAACAGATTTTAGATCCACTATTATCCAAAAATGCTTAATTTGGCACTATTCTAGGTACTATAATATTTGGTGTACAGTATTTGTAACAGTAACAAATGAGAGCCAGTGTAGAAAAATAATTTTGCTGAATCCAAAGCAGTGTCACCTGGTCAGTTTTTGTTTTGTTTTGCTTTTGTTATTATTGCCTTCTGCTACAATGTCTTTTCTTTAGTCTTCTTGAACCCAAGGATGGCATGTTGATAACAAAATTCAATGTTTCTGAAAATGTACCAATGGTTTATGGAGACTCTGCAAAAGTTCCTAAAGAAGTAAGAATAAATCCCTTGGAAACAAAAGGCTATTGGTTTCAGTAAATTAATATATTTATTCAGTAAATACTTTCTGGCCTGGTTCTGTGTAAGATGCTATGCTTTAGAAGATACAAAAATTGAATTGCATGTTCCGCCCTCAAGGCACTTCTAGTCTTTTATAAAAGAGATAAAACAGATAAGTATATGAAGGTAATAAGCATTCTAAGCTAAAAGAGGCAAGGAATGATGAAGTTGAAAGATAAAGGGGAGGGTGGTGACTAGAACCAGGAAAGATCTTTGAAGATAGATAAAATGTAGTCAGGTACAAAGGAGAAGAAATGCATTCCATGCAGAGAAAAGAACGTGAATGTGATGGAGATGGAAATGGGAGAAACAAATAACAAAAGCATCAACTACTACTACTACTACCAACAGTGACTGCTCTCAACACGCCAGGCACCAAGTGCTTTATATACCTGGTCTCACTTTATCCTTCCAACAACCCAGTGCAGTAGGCACTATAATTATCCTGCTTCCCTTCCCCAGAATAGGAAAGGTTTAGGGACATTAAATAATTCGCTCAAGGGCACAAAGTAAGTACATGAACTGGATTTAGATGCTTCTGAAATTCATGTTATCAGCCATTCTGCTATAGGGCATTGCTAGTGGTTTGGTTTGGTTCAAAGCAATGTTTGTGAAAAGTGGGGAGAAATAAGGTCAGAAAGGGAGGTGGACACAAATTGATAGATAGTATACAACTCTAGGCTAAGAATTATGGAAAATTAGACAATGGGGAACCACTGAAGAACAAGAGTCTCATATGATGAAGGTTATACTTAAAGAATATTAATCTATTAATGGGTTGTAAAGAGATCAAAAGTAAGGAAGGGAGAAATAATATTTTTCTGAGTACCTTCTCACTAACCACACATTGTCCCATTTACCCTTCAGAACTGCATACTTCATTGATGAGGTAGAAATGACTAACTTCTCTGTGACTGAACTGGAATGACTAATTTTTCTGTGCCTAAACTTTCTCATCTGTAAAGTAAGATTAAATAAGTTTCTATAAGTCAGACAGCCAGAAGGACCATCTTCACAATTAGCACTTAGGTCTATCTGACTGCAGAGCCCATGCTCTTTCTACAATTCTACATTAGGAAGTTTGTGAGAGAGTCACTGCAAAAGACTGACTGAAATCAGGGCCTGAATCAGAATAGTCACAGTAGAAATGGGAATCTGAGCGCTTGGGAGTTCATTAAATAATAAAACTAAAATTAAATAATAAAAAAAAAGAAATGGGGAAAAATAAAGAAATGAAATGTCATGGAGGTTAAAATTATTAGACTTGGCAACTAATTAGATGTGGCAAACAGAAGGGGAAAAAATTCAAAGAAATGTTGAGGTTTTACCTCTAGGTGATCAGAAAGATGAGGGTACTTAGCAACAGATCCACAGGAAGAAACTTAAGTTCGATAAAAAATGGGGACATTTTAAACATCATATTTGAGGTGATGGTGGGCCATGTTTAACATGCAACTGAAGAATGGAATAGCAGTAGAGTTGGAAAAGCAGAAGAGGTCTGCAGCTGAAGGGAAAGGTTTAAATGAGGATCAAGGAAAGAAGCAGGCCAAGGGAAATCCTTGGTAAACACTGTCAGAAGGGATGGAAGAAGAGTCAGGCAAGGCAGATGCAGGAGAATCAAGAGAAACCTAGGAAGGAGAGACCATCAAGAAGAAACACATGGCTAACAGTGCCTACAGATAGGCCACAAAAATCTGACCTTAAAGTAAAAAGTATTAGACTTACTGACCAGGAGATGCTAGTTAATTCTCCTTTAAAAAAAAAAAAAAAAATCAGAAAAGTGGTTGCGGGCTTTTTAGAGCTCACAAATAAGTGATAACATGCAATGTTTGTCTTTCTGTGCCTGGCTTATTTCACTTAAAGATCTCCAGTTCCCTCTATGCTGTTGCAAATGACTGGATCTCATCTTTTTTACGGCTGAATAGTACTCCATTGTGTACATGAACCACATTTTCCTTACCA